TTTTTTTTTTTTTTAAGTAAACAGTTTTCTATTTTTTATTTTAGGAAACAACCCTTATTTGCTTCTTAAAAAAAATTCTTTTGAAATTACTAGTTTAGAAATATATATTTTAAAATTTAAACAAACAAATTTATTATGTGTTTATATAATTATTGAACTGAACGCAATGTAAATCTATGATACTTGCGTACCTTCAAACTGTGCAGGTGAGGAGTAGGGTGGTGTAAAGTAGACATGGCAATCTAACCCATCTTCGTGGGTACTCGCCCGAACTCGCCCTGATTTAGACGGAAAAAACTCGTATTTATCGAGTTCGAGTTCAGGTTTTCCCTAATTAATGAAATCGGGGGCGGGGCAGGTACAGGAATGTTGATACCCACCCCCACCCTGCTTAATAATATAATTAAAAAATTATTTATATATATAAATCAAAATTAAAAATATTTATATGTAAAAATTTGTATTATTTTATTTTTCTTTTATTTTTTAAATTTGTTTATATTTATTTAAAAAATAAAAAAAAATAAAAAAGATAAGAATGGGGGCGGAGTGGGAAAATCCAAATTCTGTCGGGAACGAGAATGAATACCTAGATTTTACCTTCGATAAGTATCGAGAGTGAGGACGGAAATAGTTTAAATTTGCGGGAGCAGAACGGGGGCAGAAAATATAAGAGAATTTCTACGGTACCCTCAGTAAAAGAAGGGTACCGGTACTGTCGATGACGTGTCGATGATATGTCATTTACGTGTAAATTTAAATCACTTATAATTTTATAATTATTTAAAATTCACATATCCACGTCAATTAAAATGAAATTCACGTTTTTAATTTTTTTTCGGAGTGTTTGCTTCGTGTTTCTTCCTTTTTTTTTTTTTTGAAATGTTTGCTTCGTGTTTCTTCCCTCTCAGCGGGCCGGCGAGCGAGACGGCGAAGGCTCGGAGACCGCGATTGTCGGCGAGTCGTGGAGCAGGAACGTGGTAGAGAGGGAGAGGACATCAAAGCGGCCATGGAAAGTGACGGTGGCGCCGGGGGTGACGGAGGGTTGACAGAGAGTGACGTTGGTGACGGTTCCCGAACCGGACAGGATGCATAGGCCCGTGTTCTTTCTGCGGCTGAACCAGCCCAGGGCCTCGACCACGTCGCTTCCGCCCGATTTCTAAAATAAAAGGGGTCATAGCGGGCTCGGTGGATTCTTGTGGATGGAGATCTGGGACCTCAAGAAGCTATTGTTTATCCTGGGCTTGCTCTTTACCAAGCAACTGCAGGATATGTAAACCCTGCATTACACAAGACTGAGATTAATATGGAGGCTAATATGTATGGATGATGTTCTTTAGCCTTCAAACTTTTGCCCAAGTCAATGACCAGTTTTGATTGTCCAGAAATGCGAGCAGCAAGTTATGGAATTGAAGCTCAGTTCCAGCTTCCTGTTCTGGTGGATGATTTTATGCAAACATCTCATCCCACAGATAGTCTCTTTAACAGGCCTGGTTTCCAGTGCTTTAATTTCCAACCAGCGCATGATGGTATGTAGCATTCTAATTATATTGGGAATGTGATTTGTTGTATACTTTATTTGAATAGGACTATAGGAAATTTCTTTGTATTCTTCAAAACTTCATTTAAGAACATGCTTAATTTGAATGATGCCTATGCTGAAATTTGAATGCCAAACCTATTTTTTTAAGGTTGGGGTGGAGTTGGAATAGGGATGTAGGTATCTTGCATATACATGATTGTTTCCTCAATTTTCCTATATTTGTAAATCCCAATATTGCCATATTCTAATGAACATTAGAGAAACTGGGAAAATAAAAATTAAAGGGTACAGCTTGTTTATTTTCTTTATATCATATAGCGTGACTAAGTCTCTCAAATATGATGGTACTTTATCCTTTTGTTGTGCTAAGTATCAGCTCCCAACATAAGCTAGGTGATGAATAAAAGAGTACTGTCCATGAATTACTGGATGAAGGAGATGAGTATATTGAAGTTGTGTATTGTGCTTGAAGTCTGTTTTAGTCAGCATTGGAAACTTACATAATGTTGATCATGAGTAAACATTCTGAACTTGTGATTGGTGGTGTTCTTTAAGCTGCATTCTAGCATTACATTTGTCCTCTATATAATAATTAGTTCATTGTTTTTCCTGTATCTCAGATGTTATTTATGAAAAATGTTCCAAATTGTCACATTCAAGATGGGTAGCAAGATAAATTATATTATTATTGTTTGACCAACTTGTAGTCGGCTTCTTTCATTTATATTAGTAGTACTTGGCTCAAAGGAATGCCAAGGTGGAAAAAAACATGTTCAGATGCTTTTAGGAGAATGCTTATTTGCCTAAATAAGAACAAGGATATTGTTTGAAATTTAAACTTAGTTTACTGTATTTGGTATTTCATGAAAATTTTCATTTTTTCATTCATGAGTATGATTGCATTGAGATTGAATTAGTGTCAATTCTGCTTTGAGAGTCGTCCTTAGTGCAAAGTTTTTAACAGCAGGTCCTTGGATCGATGAAATGCCGGTACAGGATCTATGAAGACTTTGATGCGAAGAAGGAAGCAAAATCCCAAAATCAAACCTTTGCCACCTTCCAAGAGGTTAAGGCTTGAGGCACAGAGAGTTTTGAAAGAAAGGGTCCAGGATATTGCAGATAAGAAAGGCATCAAGCTGCGGTTTTGTAATCTCAAGGAATGTGAAAGTCACATTCACAGTGTAGATAGCCCATGTGCAAAATATACGGGTGGAGATAGGGTGGCCGCTTGGTGTTCCATTTGTTCATCCCCATGATTTACCTAATAAGGCAAAGCTGGGTTTTCTTGAAGCATATGAACCTGGTTGGACAGAAGCCCATCAAAACTCAGACAGGCTAGTCAACACTAGGCTAACTTTAACTGTAACTCTCCTTTTGCAAGTTTCATGTCCATATGCATATTCTACTTTTTATTTAAAACTGTTAAACGGTTGTAGCGTATCTAAAGCTAAGAATATGCATATTTTTTCAGGGTGATGAAAAGATTAAGGGAAGTTGAAGCTTAACATAAATAATTAATTCACATGGTTGTAATTTAACCAAATTATCTTCATTACCCAATCAATGTGTTCCATGCTACGATTATCAACATGAATAATGTTTAACACTTTTTATTTACATATCAAAAGAACCAGGGAGGTTTCCGATCCTTTGTCATATTGTCCTTTTGTCAGAGGGCTAAAATCCTTTGTCACATCCTTTTGTATTTACTTAGTTGCTTAAGACTTGTAACAATGCATATTTATAATTTTTTAATTATTTAAAATTCACATCCACATCAGATAAATGGTTAATATGAAGTTTATATTTTTTTATTTTTTTTTTCAGAATCTTTCTGTTTCTTCCCTTTCTGCCGGCCAGCGAGCGGAGCGGCGAAGGTGGAGACTGTGATTGCCAGCGAGTCGTGGAGGAGGAGCGTGGCGGAAAGGGAGAGGACATCAAAGCGGCCGTGGAAAGTGACGGTGGCGCCGGGGGTGACGGAGGGTTGACAGGTAACATACCAACACGCCAAATTCGAAAACTCCTTCATTTTCAGAGAGTAGAGTCCCGTAAGGTTGGGTAACTATCGGGTTACAATAAAAGACACGGAAACCTGTGTATTTGGTAAAACTAAGTTATTTTTATGTTGTTTATTGTTGAATTATTAATAAGTTGAGATGTAAAAGTTAAAGTAGTTCATTGTTGTAAAGTTGATATTTTGTAAACTATAGTTGCTCTAGTTGTTTAATTAAGTAGTATAAAGATGCCTATTGTTGTAAAGTTGAATGTTGCCTTAAAGTTGTTATGATGTCTATTGTTCTAAAGTTGTTATGATGCCTATTGTTCTAAAGTTGTTATGATGCCTATTGTTGTAAAGTTGTTATGATGCCTATAGTTGTAAAGTTGTTATGATGCCTATAGTTGTAAAGTTGTTTACTCTTGATTATTTAGAAACTTGAAGCAAACTGGTATTTTAAAATGATTGAAATTTCTGTCAGATTATGAATGAAATGCACGTCTAATATGGAAATTGCATTTGTAACTCTTGCCATGCATGGAATTAATAACTGGATGGCTTTAGGTCGAGATTTGCACAATGTCAGATTAGGAGAGCGGTTATATGTATCTTCTTTAGCGTGCACTAAACATGGTAAGGTTAATTGGCATCGCAAAGCCAGAGCCATGACTACGACCTCATGGTAAGATTAAGGACCATGGAACAACATAAGAGTTTTAATGTGGCAAAATGCATTATGTATTCGAAAATGTGTAGGATGTGTAACAGTGTATTAGTAGTGCCTTTTTCGTGGGGAAGTTCATGTTCTTGTTTGATCAATCCTTGATATAAACCATTATCGTTTACTTGTGGGGGATTTATTAAAGTCATATGCATAAAATGCTCATTGGATTTTAACTCTGTTGTCTCTTTTATATAATAAAAGAATTCCTTGACAGAATGATTGAAGCATATGAAACTCTTGATATCGATTATATTTATTTTTAGTGTAAATGAGTTTGGTAAGAAGTATTTCTAATCACATAAACTTGTCATTAAGTAAAACTCCTGAAGAATAGGAACACTACGATTCCATTTCCAACAATTTATCTAGGAACAAACTGGAATGAATTCAAACATGTACTAGAAAAATACTATAATCACGATCGACTTGGAAGCTTAAACATGAAACAATGTAAACAAGAAACAAATGGGATAATTGTATCTATTCTATGTAACGCAGTTGGTAGACTGGAATGAGACGTTCTAAACTAGAGCGGGTCGTTCTAAACTACTAAATAGGCTTGTAAATCCTAGTTGAGAACGGGCCGTTCCAAACATGGTTGTTGTGAGTTAAATTCAACTCCCAAACGACCGTTTTGCTTTAAGAAAGGGTCGTTCTAAACGTGCCAGAACGGGCCGTTCTGGTTTCAGAACGGGCCGTTCTGCATGTGAATTTTACACATGACGAAGGAGCCTAAAACGGGCCGTTCCGGATTCGAAATGGGTCGTTCTGGTCACTCCTGACCTTTATAAATAGGCGTTGAGGAGGGGGAGAAAAGGGAACTTAGAGAGAGGTTTTAGAGAGAAGGACTCTAGGCCAGGAAGCTTGCTTTTGGAAGATTGAGGTTCTCAGGTTGAGCTTCGGAAGGAAATTCCGCTTCTTCTTAGCTCTTGGCAATGCTGAGCCAATCTTCAGGTTAGGGAAACTTCATACATTATTTTCCTTGAAATGGTCGAGTTGTTGGGTGCGGATTGAGTAAAAAGTTGGGTTTTGTTGTTTGAAAGAAAAAGAGATGATTGATTTAAATTAGTAGTTGCATGTAGTTGTTCTTGTGTTTTAGAAGTTGTTTATAACGTGGTTAAGTTGCTAAGTTGCCTGATGAAGATGAGTTGAGTAGTTGTTGACTTACGTTGTTTATATGTTGTGTGTTGATAATATGCGATATGGTGTTAAAGTTGTTATATGTTGTGTATTTGGTAAAACTAAGTTATTTTTATGTTGTTTATTGTTGAATTATTAATAAGTTGAGATGTAAAAGTTAAAGTAGTTCATTGTTGTAAAGTTGATATTTTGTAAACTATAGTTGCTCTAGTTGTTTAATTAAGTAGTATAAAGATGCCTATTGTTGTAAAGTTGAATGTTGCCTTAAAGTTGTTATGATGTCTATTGTTCTAAAGTTGTTATGATGCCTATTGTTGTAAAGTTGTTATGATGCCTATAGTTGTAAAGTTGTTATGATGCCTATAGTTGTAAAGTTGTTACGATGCCTATTGTTGTAAAATTGTTATGATGCCTATAGTTGTAAAGTTGTAAAGTTGTCTATTGTCGTAAAGTTGTCTATTGTCGTAAAGTTGTAAAATTTCCTATTGTTGTAAAGTTGAAAAGTTGGGGACATATGGTGAAGATATATGTCCTATGTTGAGATACATAGTACTAATGTGATAAGTTAAAAGTTGTTTTAAAGTTGAATCCCTTAGTACTGTGTGGATGACATGGAAGTATTCGACTCATGTCATGGTTGAATGACCAAATTGAGTAAGGTATCTAGTTAGAGATATTTTTTTTCAACTAAAATAAACAATTTTCTACTTACTTAACGTGTTGGTCTAAATTGGTATTAAAAACATGCTAGTCTTAATTGTTTAAAAAAAACGTTTATTTTCTTTACAAAAAGTTCTCTATTTTTTAAGAAGTAAATCTTATTTGAAAAATCACTTTTTAAAAAATTAGTTTTTTAAAATTGTTTTTTTTAGATCACACTGTATATTATGATACATACTATCACTTTCATCAGATTCTTTAGAAGAAACAGAATGTTTAACATCTCCATCATCACTTAAATTAACTGCTGACAAATCATCCAAGTTGTCCATCAAATGTAAAGTTTACCCTCTGTTGTTTAAGAACTATTAGAAGCTATCACCTGTCAAATACTCATAACTATTAGGTATTTAATGCATATAATATAATCAAATAGCAAAACACAAACAAAAAAAAAGATCAATATGGATAACTTAATTTCACGTAATATACTAGGCAAAAACATAGACACGCTCATAACCATAAAAAGTATACAATAACATTAATTTGGATTAGAAATTAAAAGTCCATTACCCTTTTCATAACCTAGCACTAGGGATGGGCATGGATCGATTTTTTTAAAAAATCGATCCAAACCGATCCGATCCGGTTTAAATGGATCGGTTTAGTAAATTCCAATCCGATCCGGTTTACTGATCCGATTTTGAACCGAACCTAATTAATGGATCAGTTTCAAACCAATTTCGATCCAGATTTATGGATTAATCCATTTCCAAAATGGATCGGATAAAAACCGATTTGAAACCAGTTTTTTGAAACCAGTTTTTTAAAATAGATTTTTGAACCAGATTTTTTTAACCAATTTTTTCAACCAGATTTTAAGAATTACAACTCACACCATATAAGATTTTATCAAATATTTTGAGGGTTCTGCTAATACAACAGTAACATCTACAGTAGTATATTGTTTAATTTTTAATCACTGTAGCAAATGTTAAAATAGCAAGGTATATAAGTATTTACACTTTGTAGCAGACGTGTTTAAAAAACCATATAGAGCTTTTGGAAGGGGTCAAAATAATAGAGCAGTTTGAATTTCTAAACCGAGCTAAGTCCAATAAAACAGAGAAAGGAGATGACAACCAGGAACATTGAACACGGGACAGAACAGAATTCACTTTCCAAACCCAAACTACAACCAAATTTCTCAACTTAAATGCCTGGCGTCTCACAAGCCAAAATGCCAAATCTTAATACAGTAGCAGTAAAGAATTTTAGTAAGGACTTGAGCTTAAATAGCAGGACGAGATAGAAAAGGTGCATTCAGATTTTTTAAGACCTTTAAATCTTAATACAGTAACATAAACATTCCTGAATTATTTAAAAAGATGAACGTAGAAAAGTATAGAAATAACCATAGAATGTATAATTAAAAAGAACAATTTTTCATGGTCCAGTTATTTGGGTCGTATAAATAATAATAATAATAAATTTTTTTTATTACTACTACTACTACTACAATAGGACAATGTGTGTGTATATAAAAATATTTAAATCATCAAATGTATTATAATTCACCTTTACTTTTTGATGACTTCCAATCAGGAGAAGATTCCCATCTATACTTATACTAGTAATTATGACCTGAAGAGCATATATACATCAGCTAAATGTTTGAGAGTAACAGACCCTAAACTACACTTTGGAAAATCATCAAAGAAAGAGTCATTGTGAGTTGTGACATCAGACTTGGACATTTTCTTGGCATAAAAAAAAACACTAAGAAAAGAAAAATTAAATATATACAGCGATGCAAGCATAAAATTCACATGAGTAATTTAGTAATTTAAATTCAAGCTTCTGTGTGAGTTTAATACAAGTTGTTTGAACACTAGAACTAGAAGCATGCGACTTTAGGATATACTATTCAGGGAAAGAATCAAGTAGATGGAAGACAAGATAAAGTGATTTGGATCATCTATTTGAAGGGCTATATGACAATGAAGAATGGAATTTATTGTCCTCCAA